GCGGAGCCAAACCTTGGAAAACAAAAACATGGCCCACACTAAGGGCTAAACCTTAAACCCTTAACCTTATAAACCCTAAACTTTAAACCCTAAACCAATCTCCTGCCTATGTCTCGCAAGAAGTCTCCACCATGAAGCTCACCGGCCTGTAGCGCTAAAAGCAAGCCGTGGTCCAGAATTGGGTTTCAGGGCTTAGGCCTAAGAGTTAAGGGTTTAGGGCCTAGGACTTAAGCTCTAGGGCTTAGGGTTTAGGGGTTTAGGATAACAATTGTAATTAACATCTTAAACCTACTACCAATAGTAGAGTTAGTTTATTATAAGAACAATACTCATAATCATAGTATTAATCATAATCACTGGGTCCACAGGGAAAATATGTATACATAATCACACATAAGTATATAGATATACACACTTACTTGTGTTTTTTTTCAAGTTTCTGTTTGCGGTGTCTACTGTTTAGGGTTTAATGGAAAGCCTAGATGATTTCATGGGGTTTGCGGCTCGGGGATCGGGGACGTACACGGCCGCGTATGGTTGCGCGAAAGACCTCCGAACTTACTGAGCTGATCGGTTTAGGGTGTAAGGTCTTTCTGCAGAATAGGGTACTCGGAGGGGGAGTTAGTAATGTACTATATCTACGCAAGAAGCCCATTATAACCCTCCTGGCCCTACTGCTACCCCTCTATTAGATCTATTAGTAGGTCACATAATAACCCATCAGAGCCTCCAGGGTTCCACAAAGTAAAGCTTCAATGCAGGTTCTCTGGGGACACAGCCCCTAAACCCCAGACCTAAACACCCTAAACGCCCTAAAGCCCAAAGCCCATAAACACCTATACACGCCCGGAAGTGTCTCAGCCAAGCACTATGCGAGCAGGGGATGCTTGCAGACCCCCAGGAAAGGCGCAAATGTGACGGCTGCCTGCAACGGGAATTGAATGAAGGGTTTAGGGTTGTAGGGGCCTGAAACCTCACTTATCCTCTTCAGGCTCCTTTGAGGCAACCTATGCTTACTGGGGGGTTGATGGGGGATACCGGAAAGATCATATGGGGATTACATAAGGTCATTCCCTACTAAGAAGCAATAAGTATACATGGAAGGAATCTGGGACGCTTCTATTGCTAGTCCGACTGCCTTTCAATCCTACCCGTACCAGCCTACAACCATTCATACAAGAAGTCCGTTGATGAAAGAGATTACAAATCGCAGCCTGGGGTGCTTCGAGTAAGGGTCCTTCTTTCATCTGTGACCTATAGAGCCTGTGCGCCTTGATGCTGTCCTTGTATACTGGAGAAGCCTGAACAATTGCCAATAGTTTTCGCTCGCAAGGCTTCCATAATTACTACATGTCATGCCCCACGACCTATTCTAATGAAATAGGCACCTGCATTACCATAAGCTAGGACAAGCGCGAAGCCACGAACCCCATTCGCAGTTTCCACAAAAAAGGACCCTCTTTATTGGAGAGTGCTGATACTCAAGGATGACAGAAATTCCCTCAACCAAAGACCCTTTGTTGAGGGCCGCTATTTTCGGAAATCCCTCCATCCACCAAGCCTCCCTAAACCTAAACCCTAAATCCATCCCAGCCCGTTTTTTCTGCGAATCCTCCTGGGATCCCCACCTGAGTCTGCAACAAAAAGTTGCAAGCGGTAGCCTGACCATGCGTGTTCTGACTTTCCCAAAGGGATCCAAACGTACAGATAATGCCTACATTGGGTTCTAAAGTCTACAAGTATCACCTGCATTGGGCTATTCGAGTCCTTAGGGTTCTAATCCTTAGGGTTTAGGGTTCAGGGTTTCATCCGACGTGGGTGCTTTGGAATTGACATTCCCTTGTGTTTTGATCGCCTCCTGCTCCCTGGTTTCAGAGCGCTTGCACTCATTGCTACTACTACTGCTACTGCTACTGCTACTACTGCGCCTACGACTTCAACGATGACTACTACAGGAAGCACATACTCAATCTGACCTGGAAGAACCCTCAAAGCAACACAAGCATGGGCCCCAGTCTCATTTGCCCTGCGCTGCTTGCCTCTCTTTGGGAAGCCCCGTTTGGCAATTCGGTACCGTGAACAAGGGGCGCCGCATGAGCCTCTTCCGGCAGCGGCCTGTTGTGCTACGTCTTTGGGAGATACACCCTACTCCAACGTAAACCCCAAACCTTAAACCCTAGACCCTAAACCCCTACCTTCAATCCTAAACCCTAAGTCCTAAAGCCACCCCCTAAAACCCCAAACAGCGCTCCTATGGGGACACACTTCGCGGAACCTGCTGCATCATTGACTGCTTCGGCTGCTCCAGGGCCTCAGACGCGAATGGTATTGTTTAGTTTTTGGTTAAGTAAGATTATACGTATTCTTCAAATGTTCCTATACCCAAAAGGATGATATCCCTAGATTCTACATCACGGCCTATGGTATTTTGAAGAGCAGCAACCAGCAACGGTTTAGGCTTAGGGTTTGCGAATTTCATCCACTCCCAGAACATCCCAGGCTGCAGGGCATTTTGACCTGTTTTTGCCGTATGCATATCATCTCAAAGCCACTGCCCTAAACCCTAAATCCTAAAACCTTAACCCCAAACCCAAACCCAAAACCTAATCTGAAAACCTAAACCCCAAACCTAATCCCAAATCCTAAACACTGATGATTTTGATCTGGCTTCTGGTGGGCTTCGGCATGACAGGTTGGGTACAGTCGCACAGCTAGAGATGCTCCTCTGGCGTTGCAGAACGTCGTTGCATCCGTTAGACTTCTAAGGGTCCAGTTGCCCCATTTTAGGGTTTAGGATTCAGGGTTTAGGGTTCCAAATACCACAATCTAAATGGTATCTGGGCCCTGAAGTCTGAGGACCTGCGTATTTGGACCTTTTGGCGGGGACACTGACGCTAACACTGCCGACCTCTCTCACGTGCTGATTGAACATCTTCATTCCAGTGGGAGTTGCTGGTAGTACTGGTACTTCAGAAGCTGGATGAGTATGTCTTCACAGAGCAGGTGCTCACGTGCAGATACGCTGGAGGCCCTGGTAGAGGCCGTTGCCACCGTACCTTGGTTTGATGCTAGCACCAAGGCCAATCACAGCCACTACCACCAACAACAACACCAATACCCACCACCACTATACCGCCAGAAACACATTGCCAGCTTGGAGGAGAAGATTATGGGAGGGTCTGGGTATGGCACTGACTGATTCTGAAAGAGGTAATTTCCAGAGTAACTGTCCAAAGCGAGTACCCAACTAGCACGGTACCTCTTCAAAACGACCCCTTGCTAGCTCATACCAAATTCCACGAGCGTAACCCAATTCTCGTGGGTCAAATCAACCTATATCGGGAGTATGGTCCATGAAAATTCAACATTTATCCCAGGAACGGGCCGAGGAATAAGCCCGAAACCCGAAACCCACTTCCCCCTAACCCCGGCCCAGGCTCTGTTCCATAAAGGCCAGCCATTCAGAAGCGAGTTGCTCCCGGCGGCGAAGGTTCTGCAACGTCGCCAAGGTCTGGATGTTCAAAGGTTGAGTCTAGGGATTGAAAGCCCTAGTTTAGTATCAAGATGCTTATAATACACTTAGTACAGTGGTTAAGGCTTCAAATTATCGTTCTAGCATTTTAGGGCTTGAGGATTCTGCCGCCCAGGCTCTTTTACCTGGAGAGGCCTTCTTTTACTGGTGTGATCTATGATCCTGGCTCTTTGGGATCTGGAGGTCTTTGGAATGACCGCTTGGGGCTTCCAGGTGGAGTTTGCCAAATACAGTCCTTGCCTGCGAAAGCCGCTTGGCAGTGTCATACGCGCAGCTCTTGCCACATTAGCATTGACACCCACAAGGAGCAGCGTCTTTTTTGCCCGGAGGGGGCTGCCGCCGCCGCCGCCGCTGCTTCGGCTGCTGCTTAAAAGCTTGCGGTTTTGATTTTGTTTGTGGGCGTTGTGCACATTAAAACTGAGGGACTTGCGAAATTTCCCAGGCCGATTGGCCCCGGCCATGTCAAAACGCTGCACTGGAGGCCCAAAGTAAGAACATTCCAAAACCGTCGCAAAACCGCCACGGTGAAAGCGTGCACAACCTCTTGCACGTTGAGCAACAACAGCAACCACCACCACCTTTCACAAAGGCCTGAACCCAGACTGGTCTGGGCTTCAAAAACTTGCTGATTCGACGGAGGCCAACCCAAGAAGTGACAACGTTTACACGTGTCTCTATATATACATAATATGTACATCGCACGCACATCTGCTAGGTACAATTACAATTTTCTGAAAGTCCACGCGCACCTTTTAGCTCCTCGCTCACAGAGTTCTGCAATCCTTTCACGCTGCGCAATTCATCCTTGCAGCTTCTACTGCCGTTGAACAAGTTAATGACAAAAAGAAGTTGCTGCACGAAGAGGGGACGCAAAAAAACAGCAACGTCAAAACCAGAAGCGGATACACGAAGGATACACTAAGAGGAAAGCAACAAGGAGTGCTTATTGTCGTGCACGCCGGAAGCTGTAGTGTGCGTCCCTAGCTTCAGACACTGTACGAACATTATTTTTCATTAGTAAAAACCAGGACACTCATACTAATACGAATAGCAAGATTTATACTAAGAAGAATATGATATGGGTGGTTGTCAAAAATATGGTCCCCTTCTTGGGCCCCTGCTATAGTACGGCTACTAATATTTAGCGTACCCAAAAAGGGACCATAATTTTGACCACCACATATATGAATACTGATACTACTAGCAGTATGAATTGTAAACTGCCGAGCCCTTGCCTCTGTCAGACGTTGCGAAGCCAGTGAAGACCGTTTCAGACCCAGGCCCAGTCGACCATCCTGGAACCCTGAACCCTAACCCTTATAGTCACCCTTAAGTAGATTGAATATGGGGTATATGGGGATCTTACTATAATATACCAAAAATGCCATGTTCTATCTACTTAATCCGAGCACTTCATTAATAAAACGGACCATATTTGAAGAAATTTTTCTGCGGGTAAAATTAGCGTCCAAAGACTCGCTACACTTAGGTGGCTTTTCGTATGGGGATAAGGGACTACATTTAAATAAATATGTTCTGGGGAACCAATCCGCATAGTAGAGATATTCAATACATTCCTGTTCATTTTTTAACCAATAGAGGTCA